AAGTGTCAGCTACTTCATAGTGTCCCTGACCAGATTCCAGGACTCAGACAAGTTCACAATGGGTATTGGGTTGTGCTCAGTAGTCTAGGTTTGCCTTTGAACTCTCTCCCCTTCCTAGTTACATGAAACTCAGGAAAGTTGCCAAATAGTAGTTCTTGACTTCAGAATGTTCCAGTATATCCCTTTCATATTTTGTGGAACTAAGCAGGCTAAATTTGACCAAATATCAAGATACCTTTTAAGTGAAACTTAACCCAGCTGCAGGTCAGCTCCATGCAGAACAACAGTTATCTGCCTGGGCACAAAGACAAAGTAAAGTCTTATTTTTATAACAAAAAAATTAACCTCTGCATTAAAGTTGTACCTGAATGCAAAATCATATTCTTTCACCAATAGTACCACTTACACTTCAGCAACTCAGAGGAACTCAGTCTTATTTTGCTTACTACTTACTTCCAATAAAAAAAAAAGCCTGGTGGGGACAAATGTCAACTCAAGGCACACAAGTGCTCTCGCTGACCATGGGACTGGAAAGTTAAATACCCACAATCCTCACTTCAATTACCACAGAAATACTACTTTTAACTTCACATTATGTCTCTGGCTTCTTAATCCACTTTAGTTAACAAGTTCACCAAATCAAGCACATATTCTGAAACTTTTACTAAAACCCTTATGTCACTCATATCTGTCTTCTTTGATAAATTCTGCTGAAAATCTGATAGTTTCTGCTGTACTAGCAAAATGTTTGTTTTTCCCAAAGAATATCATTTAATGTTTTAAGCAAATGAGATCTAGAAAATTCTATTTATTTTCTTTTTAGCCTCAGCTGCTAAGTTTGGAGTGAAGTGTTATGTGTCATCTCAGTAATTATTATTACTCTAAGGGTTGGGTTTTTACATTTTTTAAAAAGCACAACATTCTCCCTGCCCTTCCATTTGTGACTGTTGGAGCTGCTATAGCCATTTGCTCACAGGCAGGGAGTGGTTGCCTGAAAATAGAGCTCACATGAAGGAAGACAAGATAAGGGATGGAATAAGAGAAAATGGGATCTGCTAACATCTTTTGAGCCTCTGGATCAAGATGTGCCCGAAGTAATACCCCTGTTTTTTTCCAGTAAATTTTTTTCCAATAAATTTCCTTTTGAGTTTAGCCACTTAGAAATAGATTTTCCTTCACTTAAAAGTTCTCACAATGAAAAAGGGGTTTGAGATTATTTGACAAGAACTGCCATTACTGTCATTCATTTTCTTAAAAAAAAAAAAAATTGGCTTTATGAATGACACAAGAAAGTAAAACTTTTGGATGTCATGTTTATGTCATGTCAAATTTATAATAAAAATAAGTTACACATTCTTTCAGAGGAATTAGCATTAAAGAAAGAAAAAAGAGAAAACAAGCCTTTTAACTGCCATTCTTATTGACAGTTATCCACAAGAGCAGAAAAGAGGAGCTTAGTAAAGAATCTTTAGACACAAAAGCAAAAGAAGGAGGAGCACTGCAATACCTACAAGAAACTAATTTTCCAAGAAACACACACAATGTTCTAAGTGCAAACTTGGAACATACCTGCCAGACCAAATCAGGATCAAAATTAAAAGTTGAGGCTTCCTGCAAGAAGATAAATTACAAATAACTTTATTCACTTGGCTTCCTTTCATTTTTCGTTCAGGTAACTTTAGCTCCCAGGCTCAACTGACTGGTAGTAGATGTGATGTCTGCAAAAGAACTGCCCCCAATTTGACGCAGGCAGATGATATTTCCCAAGGTTCACCCCAGAAAAATACATTTTCACAACTCCAAAGTCCAGGGCGGGTACACAAAAATCTAGAACTACCAGACTGTGGTTCTAAATAGTGCTTAAATTTAGGCAAGATTTCACAGACTTTCACAACAAAAGTCTTCTGTGAGTTTATGCAAAGCGTGTATATGGGGACAATGGGGGTTGAAGCACACCCTTAGTTCCTCTAAAAAGCAAGAAACAAATAAGGATAATCTCTGAGCCCAATTTAGTCTATGAAATCTCTTCTTTTTTTTTTTTTTTTCTTTGAGACAGTGTCTCACAACGTCTCCTAGGCTGGAGTTCTGTGGCAAGATCTTGGCTAACTGCAACCTCCGTGTCCCAGATTCAAGTGATTCTCCTCCCTCTGCCTCCTGAGTAGCTGGGATTACAGGTGCCCGCCACCACGCCTGGTTAAATTTTTTTTTTTTTAAGATGGAGTCTCGCTCTGTCGCCCAGGCTGGAGTGCAGTGGCGAGATCTCGGCTCACTGCAAGCTCCGCCTCCCGGGTTCACGCCATTCTCCTGCCTCAGCCTCCCGAGTAGCTGGGACTACAGGCGCCCGCCACCACGCCCGGCTGATTTTTTGTATTTTTTAGTAGAGATGGGGTTTCACCGTGTTAGCCAGGATGGTCTCGATCTCCTGACCTCGTGATCCGCCCGCCTACGCCTCCAAAGGGCTGGGATTACAGGCGTGAGCCACTGCATCTGGGCCTAATTTTTGTATTTTTATTAGAGACGGGGTTTCACCATGTTGGTCAGGCTGGTCTCAAACTCCCGACCTTGTGATCTGCCCGCCTCGGCCTCCCAAAGTGCTGGGATTACAGGTGTGAGCCACTGCGCCCCGCCAAGAAATCTCTTCTTAATTTTAAATTCTATCAAGGCACTAGATGACACCAATGTTTACCCAGGGTTAAAATACAACAGGGTCTCAAGTTCCACTCACTAGGCTGAAGGGTCAGTTCGATTTGGTAGTCAACTCTAAAGCCTGTACAATATTCCCACCAATTTCATAGAGGTGTAATGTACAAAATTAGATGAGATCACAGCCTCCAGCCTGAGCTATACACATGGCTGAGATGACCCTCTACCAGCTGCCTCCATAACTCAATTTAGGTATGTTGAGGATAGATGCTAATGGGACCCAGACTTCTCTGTTGACAAGACAGAAGGCAGTGCTTTTGTAAGTTAACAGGCAACCAAAAAGACAACAGAAAAACCTGAGGATCAGTTTCCTGAAAATTATATTGATCTTCATTTGTCCTAAAAATACAAATGCCTTATGCCTACAAATCAGCAACATTGCCATCCATAGAAGGAGAACTCTAGGTTCAATTTACTGATAATATGTGGATATGAATTTGCCCTAGAATTCAAGTTTCTCTGCCTTCTCATGTAGATAACCTGAGTTTTTTATTTATAATTTTTTGTTTTATAATAAAACATAACGCCAGAAACAACAAACTAGGATCAAACATATTTTTCTACTTTAAAAAGTCACAAAAAAGGTACCAATTGTCTTTGTATGGAGACATTTACCAGGAAGCTACCCACCACATTAGAAGAGGTGTTTCTCCTGTTTTTTCCAAAGGCCTTGGGAACTCACTCTTTTTTTTTTTAAATGATAATTTGGAAATAGATTATATATACATCCTCTTCTCCATTACTATTTGTGCTGACTTGGAAGGTGGGTGTGGAGGTGGGTGGAAGGGGGACTGAGTCACCCTTTGCAAAAAAAAAAAAAAAATCAAGTCTTTTGTCCTTTTTTCTTTTCATTTTCCCTTTTTTTTTTTCTTTTTTTTTTTTTAAGCCTTAACCAAGTATCAGGGTTGATTCCAATATGAAGTGAGGATAAACTCTGAATTATGAACCACTGGCCTACCATTCCCCAGTGTAGAATGTTCAGTTTCTTTTCAAAATGTTTAAATTATATAAGTTTAAAACAACTGAGGAGCCAGGGTTAATAATTATTTTTAATCCTATTGGCATTTGGTGGCTTCAAATATATTTTTCAAACCCAGATGCTACAAATACATTATGAGTGCCTTGACTCATGTAACCTCATTTGGGGGACACAAAGTTTTAAAGCAAATGACCTATGCTATTTTCACAAAAATCCACTTGGATGAAGAAGTTGTCATTGAATAAGAAAAACAATCCCTACTCAGAATTGCACATGCCAATAATTCAAGAGCTCATATTAGTTTCTTTTCCCTCAAAACTTGGGAATTTGGGGACAGATAATTCAAAATCATATGCTGCAAGAAGGATTGAGAAGACTCATCATCCTATCAGCAAGCTTTAGAATTCTCTTGCAGGCCCATGGTGACCAGCAAACTCTCTGAGTGTTAAACTTGAGCATGGAATTTTCAGATTGCAAACATCTTGGTTATAAACTTAGTGTTTCTTAATGGAACACATTAAATCAAGAATTATTTATTATTGAGATAAATACTTTACTATTTGCACCCTTCTGGCAAAAACTGTAAATAAAATGTTTTCAAATTTCTAGATACTAGCAAAGAAATTGAGTTTCATTTAGACCAGTTTCTTAATCACAGATCATGACTTGGCCTTGCTCATTTACTTCATGATTCCTTAAATGTCCTGAATCCTCTCAGAAGGATTTTTCTATTCCTTTAAACAGTGTATCTCTATGCCTGCACAGCTAAATAGGATACTTTGCAAGTACTTAGTAAAGTGTTATTACTTCCAGACTTGGTTAGCAGAAAATACTGGGGTCACAAGAAAGTTTTTTTCTTAAAAAGTATTTCAATTTTGAAAATTTTGCTGATAGCATAATTTTAATTATTTAACAATACCACTGCATGTAAAATAACTTCCCTTTGCCAACTCTTAATTTCTCAAAGGTGCTTTTTATTGTGATGTGAATAGGAGGAAAAGAATTATTATAGTTTAAAAATTTTACTTTTAAAACACACACAAAACCTCCCAAGGACTAGACATGCTTTGCAAAGGAACCCAGCTCCTTTCAGCCAGTGGATTCTTGAGCCCTTTATTCTTTTGCCCAGAAAAGGAATCCTAATTAAAGCGCCAATAAATTAAATGTGCCCAGGAAGGTAAAAAATTTCAGAAGTAAAGCACCCAGCAGGGTGCCTAGAGAAAAACACAAGGTTCATTTCATGTTTATATTAGGCACCACCAAGTTAGAACAAACTCCCAAGGCATAACTGTTTCTGACAAAAGTACACAGTTCCTACCTTCATTTCGATGACAGTCTGGAGAGCCTTCGTCTTGGCTGGCTCCGGCTGAAGCTGGCTTCTTCGGTGCAATTCCTGGGGAGGAACACGATAGAAATAAGCCTGACGGTTCATCCTTCCGTTATACCATAACCTTTATAGAGGTACTGCACAGCCTGCTGGGTCCAGTTTCCCTGTGCACAGACATAAACAAGCCACAGGTGCCTCTTCCCCCACACTCTTTAGCATCCCTCCTGCCTGGAGCCTGCGTTCCAGCGAAAAGCTCCTGGCACATGCGCTATTTCTGAAACTTCCATCAATAATTAATGTCAACTGTGACAAAGCCAGCAAGTAATCATAGTCCAAATACTGTTCAACACTGGGGCTGATGCCCAGCCATCAAATCATAATTTACTAAATTACATTACTCTGTGCTCCCAATACAAACACAGCAAGGAAACAGAGGAAAGAAAATGACTAACGTGGTTGCAAATCCGCTGCACGCATGGCATTTTGCTACCGAGGTAGGTTTGAAATGAGCAATTTAAAACCATTTCAGTACAACTGTGTCACTTTTGAGAGTGATTTGATGAAACCCTGTGAATCTCTTGCTTCCGAATTTACAGTTTCAGTCCTTGTTTAAAATCACATCTGTGGGTGATATATTTATGTATCATGATGCCAAGAAATTAAAACTGGCATTAGTATCAACAGTGTTAGAGGGGAGAAAAAAATTGTTAAAGCCAGATGTGGACCCAAAAACCCCTGTAACGATGATGAACATTTATTTAGGTAAAAATCAAACACCACGATTACAATTTTTATCTTGAAGGGTCACTTTTTATATGCTTCTCCTCAAAAGAACACTTCTGTTGAGACTTTGAAAAGTTGCCTTAGCAGAAGAGAGAGATAAGGACAATGTGTGCTCAGATCACACTTGGATTTTCTTAACTATCAACAGTTTTAGGAGAGTGAGAAATTGGCAGGAGTAAACAAAAGTGCTCACACATACGCATGCTGCTGATTCAGGTCACCTATGGAATAATTCTATCAATACTTACTTCTGCTTCCACAAAAATCAGTTTAGAGTCAACATGGGGTAGTTCTAGACTTTCAGAACCACTGAATCACAAACATTTACTTTTTTTAAAAAAAGGAGTTAAAAAAGATAATCAATATCATTTCTAGCTTTCTGCAAGTAAAGGCATTTAAAATTAACTCTACCTCCACCACTATCATCTACTATCACTGTCACTTCAAAAAGATATGACATGGGGTCGGGCATGGTGGCTCACACCTGTAATCCCAACACTTTGGGAGGCCGAGGTGGGCGGATCACGAGGTCAGAAGATTGAGACCATCCTGGCAAACACGGTGAAATCCCATCTCTACTAAAAATACAAAAATTAGCTGAGCATGGTGGCGCATGCCTGTAATCCCAGCTACTTGGGAGGCTGAGGCAGGAGGATCACTTGAGCCAGGGAGACAGAGATTGCAGTGAGCTGAGACCACACCACTGCACCCCAGCCTATGACAGAATGAGATTCTGTCCAAAAAAAAGATAGGACACATTAATGTAAAAGCTATCAGAACACTCAAGACCCACAATAAAAGACAGTCCTATCCAGGATAAGATAAGCAGGCAATCTTTTGCCCACATCCTATTATGCTATTCTTATTATATTTGCCAGTGGCCCAAGAAATCTTACAGGTGGACCATAGGGCACATGTCCAAGGACCAGTGTAGGGGAGTTAATGCTACAGCTCTGGACCAGGAATCTGAAAATAATATTTTCTTCTCAAACTAATCACTGGCACAAATCAGCCACCCTGTACAAAGCTCTTTCTCAACCTCCAATTTGAAAACTATGCTTCCTAACTATTCAAAATGCTCTTGCATCAGTCAGGATATTTTTTCCCCTAACATATCCCTGGGAAGGGATGAAGTCAACTATTACCAAACATTTATGAATAGAGAAATAGAAAGAGATCCTGTGTCCCTCTAGAGGCACTGGACTGCAATCATCTGGCAACACTACCATTTTTGGACTCTGAAAATGGCAGAGATTTTCTGAAGGAAGGACCTTAAGGCAGCTGTCCTTTTTGAGCATCTGTGATGTTCCTAGCACTGCTTGTCTCATTCAAGCCTCAGCACTACCAAATGAAGATTTGTATATGGTGAGCACAGTGGGCTGCTGGAAATTTAAAAAACCTGCACCTACCATGGCCAATATCAAGCTACCCAAGTGGCATCCCTGAATGCAGACTTGGGAAGGGAGACACAATAGCACCCCCCATTGTATGGCATTTTCTACCACACAGACACAATAAATGTAACAACCTCAAGATCTTAGATAATAGTAAAGTGTAATAAGAAATTAGGAAGTTATGAGTTTTTAATGTAATCTATTTAATTCTGTGTTTGTATATTTAATTTGTAACTTTAGTTATTAGAACAAGTTTCCAATCAATTTGGAATCAATATATGGCTTTTTTCCAGCTTTCATGGGTCACTACAACCCAGTGCCAACATAGCATTGGGTGGATCCTATGAGATTTCAACCTATACAAAGAAAAAATCTACTTGGTCCTCAACATTACTTCCAAGATTGCTGGAGTTCACTGGACCAATAAAAACTCATAGACAAGAAAACAAAAAGTAAGTCACTTGTCAGAGTTTCTCTGTAGCAACTGTTAGAAGAAATACATTTCACAGATCACCCATTCTGATGCCAGGTGGCACTGAAATCATCTTTTTAAAAGCCAGGAATGCAATTCATAATAATTTCATGCCATAACAATTCCAAGTTCCAGAATGAAAATTATAACTTGAAGAGAGAGGTTAGGCTTGTATAAAACAAGGAAAAATAATGAAGAAACAACTAAGCAACACAGTGAAAATAAAAATCCCAGGGTAGAGGCAGGTGCTGCTGTAATTTCTGCCAAACACAAAAACATTGTCAAGGGTAAACATGCAATAAAAAAGCTAAACTTGTAGCAATAGTTATGCAAAAATGGAAACAGAGTTCTCTTTGCTATAATTATACAAATTATATTATAATACAAACCAGCTAAAAATCCAGATTGGGCCCTTACCCTCTGTGTCACTCCTTTAAAAATAAAATAAAATCTCCAATTATCCAAGAATTGTAATTTTCTTAATTACAATATTTTTCAACCCTGACTTCATAGATTATGAGGATCACCTTGATTCCTAAGGTGTCAGGTAAATGAAAATTGTAATCTATATCCAGACAACATGGACTGTCTGAAAATCCCATCTCAAACACTTCGCCTATCTCTGAGATTTGGGATTATTATCATACTCACTCTGTGGCAGAGGACCAGTTGCCCAAGGAAGGTTTGTGCTCCTCTTCCATACTATAGAGTTGTTGCTAGAAGGCCCCACAACCACTACCTAGATGGGGCCATGGGACTTATTTCTGGCCAGTGGAATGTGGTTAGAAATGTGCAACTCAATCAACTTCCATAAAAACTTCCTAACTGGTCCTCAACTCTCCCTCTTTTTCTTTTGTTTGAACACCTGTTTTTATTTTTTATTTATTTTTTATTTATTATACTGTAAGTTCTAGGGTACATGTGCACAATGTGCAGGTTTGTTACATATGTATATATGTGCCAGGTTGGTGTGCTGCACCCATTAGCTCGTCATTTACATTAGGTATATCTTCTAATGCTATCCCTCCTCCCTCCCCCCTCCCCCCACCCTCCTACAGGCCCTGCTGTGTGATGACTAGCTAGAAGTGAAGGACTTCAATATCCAAGAAGACAGTGTAGCCTCAAGATAAAAGAAGCCCACATTTCTGAAACATCATTTGAAAGGCTGCTGAAGACCTACATTGCATGGTGATATGAAGTAAACATAAACTTCTATTAAGTTAAGCCTATGAGTTTTCAGGCTTTATCTACAGAGATCTCAGCTCTCTCTGCTTTAAGAACTGCAAAGGCTGCAAGGCAAAATAATACCTTATTAGTCCTGTATTGTTTGTTGCTTTTGAATCACCAAAGTGATTTTAACGTGTGATTGCTTGCCAAATTTTCTAAACAGACAGTAGGATGAATTGGTTGCTGGAGGCTCCAACTGCCCCTAACCATCTGAGAGATGTACCCATTATGCACTAATCCTAAACAATTAATGAATTTCCCCAGGAGAATTTGATGTCCTCTCATATAGGTATGAATGAGTATAAGATTTAACTTACTGAGATAGTTTTCACATGACAATATTATTAAATCATGAAGTGCAATGGTACTTAAACTTTTCTGAGTCACACATCTCTGTAAAAATCAAATGGGAGGAGTGGATTCTCTCTGGAAATGGACACAAAAGCACATACAAGCAAAATGGTGTGCACCATGCCAGCTGGTTCACAGAGCCTGGATCAGCACCCCAGAAGTTTACCTTTGAACCAGACTTTGGGCTGAGAACCACTTATTGAGAGGAAAGAGCACTGTACTAGAAGTCAAAAGTCAGGAGCCTGCAGTCCCAGCATGAGACTTTGGGTATGCTGTTTCCCCTCTCTGATCCGCAGAATCAGGAGCTTTATGAATAGGTGTCTAATGCTCTTCCAGCTCTGAGACTATCCAGATTTTTAATAGACAGCTGACTCTGAAATGAGGACCTCCGGTTGGTATTTCTAGTCCCACCCATTCTCACTTTTAAAAACAACAGAAAAAAATAAGAGAAGAAAATTGGCAGCATCACAAAATTTAATATCTCACAGTGACATCAATCCCCGCATTATATATTTTCCTGTAATTTCATGACAAGGTTGGCTTTAGCTAGTGCAAAATTGCTAGCTCCTTCAGCTGATCAACATGAAAATATATGAAGAGCCTAGAATTTTGAGCATGAAATCTCAAGCGGTTCATCAGAATGATACTTCTTGGCGTTAATGAGAGTCTAGAGTCTAGTGAGTTAATCTGGATGGACACTAGCTTCCAAGATGAACCTGGCAGAATAATGTTCACACACACCACATACTTTCTTCAACAGACCAAATAATAATAATAATAACAATTAAAAACTTAACTTTCATTCCAAAGGTAATTATTATGTTTATCTGGCTTTTTCC